TCCATCTATCTGTCTATCCATCCAAATTCCAGCATCCAGTCACCCACTCACCCATCCATCTGTCCACTCATCCATCCACTCACCCATCCCTCCGTCCATCCATCCATCCGTCCATCCACCCACCTACTCACCCACCCATCCATCCACCCACCCATCCATACACTCACCCATCCACCCATACACTCATCCATCCATCCATCCATCCATCCACCCACCCATCTTTTCATCCACCCACCCACCCATCTATCCATCTGTCTGTCTATCCATCCATAATCCACCATCCATTCACTCACTCACCCACCATCCATCCACCCATCCATCCATCCACCCATCCACCTACCCATCCATCCACCCACCCACCCACCTACTCACCCACCCATCCATCCACCCACCCATCAGTCCACTCACCCATCCACCCATCCACTCATCCATCCATCCATCCATCCATCCACCCATCCACTCATCCATCCATCCATCCATCCCTCCCTCCCTCCATCCATCCATCCATCCATTCCATCCATCCATCCATCCATTCCATCCATTCCATCCATCCATCCATCCATCCATCCATCCACAAACATTTTTGACTGCTAATATTTGCCAGGCTTTTCTTGGACAGAACAAGAAACAAAACCGACACATCTTGGAGGGTTCCAGCTGCCGTGTCAGCCAGAAGCCTGTCCTCTCCCGATCACCACCCCCCCTCCCCCCCTGCATTGTCCTCCTCGTCATGTCAGATGGTCAGGCACCTGATCCCGGGTTCCCAAGGCTCGTGCCCGGGACCCTAAGGGTCCCATAATCACCTGAGAGGAAGTGACTGGGATGCCTGCCTTCCTGAGTACACGGCACCTTCTGTAAACCCAGGGAGACCCCAGCCTCGTGTTCACACCCGTCCAGCTCCGAGCGTGGCCCTGAAGAGGCCTCAATGAGCATGTGTGGAACCCAAGACTAAATCTACCTTTCTGAGCCGTGGAAAACATCTCAACTGGAGTGTGTTCTAAATTAGGCCTTTGTTTTTAGACTCTTAACTGTCATCACAAAGCCCCAAGCTGCCTAGAAAGAGAACATATATTCTCTCAAACTGAAATGTGCTCAAATCAACATTAAATGTACACTTTTTGTTCTGTTTTGTTTCCCTGGGGCCTTTGTCTCATGTCAACTCGGACAAACACGTCCAGAGAGAAGTTCCTGTCAGCACAGGCGTTTCCAATCCCAGGGCCGCACGGACCCAGCGCGGCCAGGGCAGGGGAGGGTGGGGGGGTGGGGCTTGTGGGGAAGCAGCTGTCAGGCCCCAACTGGAAGCTGTGGTATTTGCTCTGAAGGTTGAGAAAAGGCATGTGACTGGGCTTTCACACACACCTGAGGGCAACCTGGGGTTTCAGACGCCCACGCCTGGGCTGTCACAGATGGGACAGCAGACGATCCTGGTGTGAGCTCCTCAAAAAGCCAACGCGTTCTCTTTATTTCCGTTTCTTTTCAGTCTTCCAGCTCGTCCTTGAGACGTGGTCAGACAGCACAGGCGTCTCAGGAAAGTCCTCTGGTGCTCCGTTCCTGTCTCGCCACACACTGCTCTCAGCACAGGACACAGGAGCGAGGTCCTCAGGTGCTGGAACAAGCCGCTAGCGAGTCATCCCTGAGCAATTCACCTCCAGGAAAGGCAGTTTGCTTTGGTCTGACCCCCAGGTGGCGCCCTGAGGTGAGTTGCCTGAATCTTTATCAGCGAGTGAGCCCTGGCTGGTGTGGCTCAGTGGATAGAGCCTCAGCGTGTGGACTGAAGGGTCCCAGGTTCGATTCCAGTCAGGGGCACTACCTCGGTTGCAGGCTCAGTCCCCAGTCGGGGTTGAGGAGGAGGCAGCTGATCAATGATTCTCATCTTTGACTCTCTCCCTCTCCCTTCCTCTCTGAAATCAATTTAAAAAAAAAAAGAGGCAGCGAATGAATGTGCAGAGTTGGGGCCGGGGCCCATTATTCCAGTGCTTTCTGCGGCTTCTGCTGATGTTCTGAACCCTCTCGTGAGCGTGCGACTGGCTCGAGGGCCCAGTGGACCGCAGAGAGCGGTCACAGTCCAGTGGCACCACACGGCCCGGCAGTCACAGGACATCCTGCTGCTGCAGGCGGGGTCACCTGACCACGGACCCGTGTCCCGTGTGCGGGGCGTGCTCACAGGGGTGCCACGTGTGTGGTCCGAGGCTGCGTGTGTGCCTGGCTGTGGGCACTTGTCCTGAAGCAACAAGCTACTTACATCAGCGCAGACATGTCACAGCTCTGATGCCAGGATGTCCTCGGGGGTCACGGGCAGGAAGCTCCACGTGGTCCCAGAACCGGCACGACAGGGGGGCTCGTGGGCTGTCACTCACCCTGGCTCAGCGAAGGGGCTGGTGGCAGGCCAGCGGGCGGGGCTCAGTGCTGGGGGGTGGGGGTGCAGGAGAAGGGAGGGGGGAGGGCAGGCTAGGGGACAGGAAAAAACTGGCCCTGGGATGGTCGTCAGACCACGAGTTCCTTGTTTTATTATTGTTTTTAAAGCAAATATTTTTTAAAATGTATTTTTACTGGTTTCAGAGAGAAAAGAAGAGGGAGAGAGAGAAAAACATCAATGATGAGAGAGAACCATGGATCGGCTGCCTCCTGCACGCCCCACACTGGGATGGAGCCTGCAACCTGGGCATGTGCCCTGACCGGGAATCCAACCGTGACCTCCTGGTTCATAGGTCATCCTGGTTAAGTTAATGCTCAACCACTGAGCAACCCTGGCCGGGCTTAAGTTGAGTTTTGATAGGAAAGCCTTTGGGTTATATTCCCAGCATCTAAGTCAAGTCGAGAAGGGACTCCTAGTGCCTGGTCCCTTCTCCACCCCACCCTCCCCTCCCCACGTGGAGTCTGGCAGCGAGATCTCCAGGACGGAGGCCTGGCTGGGACCTGGGGCCCTGCCCTCTCTCCCTGCCTCCCTGGGGGGCCTGCCTGAGGGTGGTGACGCAATCCCAAGGCCCAGAACCAGGCCCTCCACCCTCCCGGCCCCCCGGCCCTGCCGGCCACCTGGCTCTCTCCTCCCAAACCTCAGTGTTGTCATTTCTAACCCACACTCCCACCAGGGTGACCGGTCCCCAGGGGCCCCAGCTCCTCACAGCGGGGCGGGATGTCCCTCCATCACAGACACACTCCGTGTCAGCACCTGGGACCACACATTCCCGTGACCAGAGCTGGCCCATTAAAAGGTCCAATTACAGGAAAAAATCCAAGTTTTGATTCTGGCTGGTTTTTCACTGTTTATCAACAGCACAAGTGTAACTCTGCTGGGCGGGTGGGGCAGTTCCCTCCAAGCTCGCTGTCCCCTGCGGAGGGACCTTTTCAATGCTGATGGTGACAGTGTTATGCTGCCCAGCCTGTGGTCCGAGATTGGGGAGCTGCCCAGCCTGTGGTCCGAGATTGGGGGGCTGCCCTGCCTGTGGCTGAGATTGGGGGCCTCTGTGTCCTGTTGTAGAATCTCACCTCACCTCTCCCTCCGGGAGGCAGCCTCTTTATGCTCCACTGACTCCTGACAAGAGAGGGAACGAGAGGAGGAGGAAGCGATTTCACAGGAAACCTGAGATGAGGTGGGAATGGGGCAGACAGCCTTCCCGGCAAACGTCACCCCAGGGAGGGGAGACTGAGGCTGGGACACTGAGTAGGGAACAGCCAGCTTTGCGGGTCCTCGCCTGGTCCCTGGGGCAGCCCCTTCAGCTGGCCCAGCCCCTTTTCCATTAGCAGCAACTCAGGAAAGCGAGAGGAAGGCCAGGTGTTGTGGTCACTCAGCTGCTTTCTTCCTGAACGTGTTTTCTTCTCCTTTCTCCCGAAGCATGGCCAGGGGCTCCGCCTTCCGGCCCACAGACGCCTGGCAAGGACACCGGCCGCACTCTGGTCGCCCACGGACGGGCCACTCAGCGCGGCCACTTGAGCGGGCGCCGGAGCGCAGAGCCAGCTTATAGGGGAGCAGCCAGGCCCCGGAGCAGACGCCGCTGAGGCTCGTGGCTCAGAGCAGCTGCGGCCACGGGCGCTCCGGTCCTCACACTCACCTCCGGGCTCAGAAGAGGAGAGAAGGTCAGCCTGTAAGACGTGCTGCTTCCATTTGCTGGGAGAAATGCACCATGGGAACGTGTGCGGGAGCCTAGGGGGGCTGTGATGTGGGCCATAGGGTGACTCTGGGGAGGTCTCCATGACCTCCGACCTCTGCTCGGGTGCTGGTCAGTTAACTCCGGACCAGACGCATCCCATCCAGGAAGCGCCAGGAAGCCCGGATGAGGGAGACCCGGGTGTGGGGCACAGATGATGGGTGTGGGTTCTGCCCTGTGATTCTGAGATCATTTCATGAGCAGGAGAGAGAATGCTGCAAAATCCCTGTGCCTTTAGGGTTTGTAATGGCTGAAGTCCCATAGTCGTCTTCTGTACACAGAGCGTTACGGGAAGCAGAGTTATTTTATTC